ATAAAAAAATTAATTTATCTAAACAAATAACCATTTAAATTTTTTATCGATCAATATAAATACATGTAAGAGTGTTACAGCTTTAGGCTGTTGCAGTCATCTTGTTTATAGCTCAGTTCGCGGGAATTTTTGTGTGAACTTTTTAGGAAAAATTTTCTTTTCAAATAATTTTTTGTATCCTTATTTATATAGGTACATACGTTAAATATTCCTCCTCTTTTTGTTTACATGGTATTGCCGATTCTAGACAACGGTCAAGTTTGGTATAACAACTCTTTTTTCACATGACGATTTGTTTTTCTAGAACATACTTCCATAAAAATATTTTAATTGTAGGTACTCATAAGAATGCATGTTAGATAAAACTTTTAATATTAAAACATGGTACAGACATTTTTTTCTTTAGTAAAAAAAAAAAAAAAAAAAAAAAACATCTTACTAAGTTATTATATCTCACAGGTCTAGACATGAGCCACATAATTTTTTTTTTCGGAAACAACATATTGGATTATGCTGATTAAAACATAATTCACCTCAAAAATACACGCAAATCAAGATGGTCCTTATCTTTTTATTGACACTTGCACTTACTCTATTCATACTCGAAATTTATTTACGCTATAGAAGAATTGGGAGATACATTCGTAAAATACCAGGACCAACGGGATACCCGATTATTGGAAATGTACTGTTATACTTAATTCCACACGGTAATATATGTATAAATATATTTTTTTACAACCCTTATTTTACAAAGTACTTATTTTTTAAAGAAATAAATCTTATAACTGGTTAAATTAATCGAGTCATAATTATTCTATGAATAAATATAAAATGCTACATGTACGAGTTACTCTCATCAATTATCAGTATACTGTTTTAATGTTACTACACACGAAGATTACATAGAATCATAAAATGACCTTTGTATTTAGCAAGAGCTTGCTAGTTATGTAATGTAGCAAGATATTTATGGATACATATATATAACCCTACATAACAAGCGTTTTTATACGTAGATAAATTATGGAACCTACTTCGAAGTACAGGCAATGAGTATTATCCGATTTACAAAATAACAAGCCTAAACATAGCTGTGGCAAATCTTCGTCATCCAGACGATGCTGAGGTATTGCAGATTATTATTTATATTCAAACACCATTTTTCTATCCCCTTTGCTAAAACCATGCCTTTATGGATGATTCAGGTATTGTTGAGCAGCTCTATACACATAGACAAAAGTATTATTTATGACTTGCTCCAGCCATGGTTTGGTACTGGTTTATTAACTAGTACAGGTATGTATAGACTTGGAAAAAAATCTTAACGTTTGTCGTAGTACATTTATTGAACTGTACTGATCGATGTGATAATTAAAAATTATTTAAGGTCCGAAATGGCACCACAGACGAAAAATTTTAACTCCTGCTTTTCATTTCAACGTTTTGAAAAAGTATGGAGAAATCATGATGGAAAATAGTGAAAAGTTAATCAAATCATTGAAAGAAGATGAATCGTGTATTTACGATTTAGTGCCGTTGATAACAAAATATACACTTGATGTCATGTGTGGCAAGTTATTCAGATTTATTTAAGGGAAACAATTTTATTTTCAATAGTGAAAGATAATAATTGGAAAAAGTACTTTTTTACACTTATACGTCAATCCAGCGATATTTTTTTTATTATTATCTCGTAGTATTTATTTTTATTAATTTATCACTCTCACTTGCTGTTCTTGTGCAGTAATATACATACAGACACAAAACGATATTTACAAACTAAATTTTTGTAGAAGCTGCTATGGGAATACAAGTTCACGGGAGAGAAGAAAAAATGAATCAGTATAGAAACGCTATACATAAAATGAGCAACGTAATATTACACAGGTAATTTTTTCTTACATAAAGAAAACATTGTTGTAATGATCAATCAAACAGTTTCTAAAATTTTGAATATTCTTTTAAATTTTTTTAAAAGCTTACCTATTTTAAAAAACGCCCATCTAAATGTATAATACGTTTACTTGTTTATAAGTTTCTTTTTATCAGTTACTTCATTATTCTTTTAACAACACGTAATACATTATTATTGCCCGCAGCGGCAGCTTAAAATTTAACTTTTCGCAGTATTTGCAATAATTTTTTTTTTTTTCAATAAGTTGTTTAGACAAAGTCCATTAGGCATTTAAAATACAGATAGACACAATTCATAAGAAAATAATACATTATTTGAGTACATAAATTTGTAGATCAAAATTTTATCAGTGCACATATGAAGAATATTAAAAAATAGCACAATAGCGTTCAAACGTTTAAATTAAAATCATTTCAATATTTAGATAAGAATGTACAAGCTTCTATATTAGTGTTACGTAGGGGAGATAAGGAAGTGCGTCGCGAGAATGACCAACACTTGTTATTTCGAAGACCTTTATTCAAGTTACCGTAATCATATAGGCAAAGTATCGCGTGTGTTTCCCTCGAAGGCTCATCGTGTACTCCCCCGATAGACTCCCTCCTTGCTCGCGCTTTCCTTCCCTTGGCCCTAGGGCCCCTCGTTACGAGATTTGAGGAGAGGGATCGTCAAGTCTCACCTAGAGGCGTTTCATCTCAACTCACACACCCAGCCGCGCAAGCTAAAAAATACCTACTTTTCAGTCAATGATTACAACCACGTAAAGTACTAAATAAAATTATTAAAAATACAGGATCAATGTATTTTTTCCTTAGCTTTCTTATGCAATTTTCGGAATCACAAAAAAAATAAAACATAACCTCGAAAAATGAAAAACAAAAAAAGAAAGCGTTGTATCTCGAAAAGTCCATTTTTTTTCTTTTTTTTTGTATGGCTCCAATCGAAAGATCAGGTCTTTTTACGTCGGTATAGTAATTTTCAGGAAGGTGTTATTTTTTTTTTTTTTAAATATAAAACTTTGAAATTTATGTTGTATTGTAGCAGTGGTTCAATCAGCCGCTCTTACAGGCGTCTGCTACTTACATCTTTATATACTCATTCAGTATACTACAACCGGACAGAGTTTGTTTACATTTAATGTGCTACTTGTTGTCTACTTCTTTTTAGTTTTAATAATTATTAATGTGTAATAACAAAGACGTGCTTAAATAAAGTATTTTTGTGTAAGTTCTGAAACGTTTTACTTACAAAATTTCGAATCACAATGCTTTATTTTCATAAGTATTGTTTGTTGTTTTTATTATAGGTTAACTTACATTCGTGAGCTATTTGAGATTAAAATGAATTCATCATTTTTAAAAACGAAATGTATTAATCCTTTAAAGTTAGCTAATCACGCAACAAAAGTTTCTCAGTTGTACAACTTTCCAGAATCAAAAGGACCAGAGTATTCGTGGGTTCCTGGTGATGCAAAAATATGTACGAAATGTAAATTTCGAATATATACAAGCGAAGGAGATCAAGAAATTTCATTGAAAGAAGATCGTAAACGTAAACATGAGGGGAAAGAAATTGATTGTAGTAACACGGTAATATATGTATAAATATATTTTTTTACAACCCTTATTTTACAAAGTACTTATTTTTTAAAGAAATAAATCTTATAACTGGTTAAATTAATCGAGTCATAATTATTCTATGAATAAATATAAAATGCTACATGTACGAGTTACTCTCATCAATTATCAGTATACTGTTTTAATGTTACTACACACGAAGATTACATAGAATCATAAAATGACCTTTGTATTTAGCAAGAGCTTGCTAGTTATGTAATGTAGCAAGATATTTATGGATACATATATATAACCCTACATAACAAGCGTTTTTATACGTAGATAAATTATGGAACCTACTTCGAAGTACAGGCAATGAGTATTATCCGATTTACAAAATAACAAGCCTAAACATAGCTGTGGCAAATCTTCGTCATCCAGACGATGCTGAGGTATTGCAGATTATTATTTATATTCAAACACCATTTTTCTATCCCCTTTGCTAAAACCATGCCTTTATGGATGATTCAGGTATTGTTGAGCAGCTCTATACACATAGACAAAAGTATTATTTATGACTTGCTCCAGCCATGGTTTGGTACTGGTTTATTAACTAGTACAGGTATGTATAGACTTGGAAAAAAATCTTAACGTTTGTCGTAGTACATTTATTGAACTGTACTGATCGATGTGATAATTAAAAATTATTTAAGGTCCGAAATGGCACCACAGACGAAAAATTTTAACTCCTGCTTTTCATTTCAACGTTTTGAAAAAGTATGGAGAAATCATGATGGAAAATAGTGAAAAGTTAATCAAATCATTGAAAGAAGATGAATCGTGTATTTACGATTTAGTGCCGTTGATAACAAAATATACACTTGATGTCATGTGTGGCAAGTTATTCAGATTTATTTAAGGGAAACAATTTTATTTTCAATAGTGAAAGATAATAATTGGAAAAAGTACTTTTTTACACTTATACGTCAATCCAGCGATATTTTTTTTATTATTATCTCGTAGTATTTATTTTTATTAATTTATCACTCTCACTTGCTGTTCTTGTGCAGTAATATACATACAGACACAAAACGATATTTACAAACTAAATTTTTGTAGAAGCTGCTATGGGAATACAAGTTCACGGGAGAGAAGAAAAAATGAATCAGTATAGAAACGCTATACATAAAATGAGCAACGTAATATTACACAGGTAATTTTTTCTTACATAAAGAAAACATTGTTGTAATGATCAATCAAACAGTTTCTAAAATTTTGAATATTCTTTTAAATTTTTTTAAAAGCTTACCTATTTTAAAAAACGCCCATCTAAATGTATAATACGTTTACTTGTTTATAAGTTTCTTTTTATCAGTTACTTCATTATTCTTTTAACAACACGTAATACATTATTATTGCCCGCAGCGGCAGCTTAAAATTTAACTTTTCGCAGTATTTGCAATAATTTTTTTTTTTTTCAATAAGTTGTTTAGACAAAGTCCATTAGGCATTTAAAATACAGATAGACACAATTCATAAGAAAATAATACATTATTTGAGTACATAAATTTGTAGATCAAAATTTTATCAGTGCACATATGAAGAATATTAAAAAATAGCACAATAGCGTTCAAACGTTTAAATTAAAATCATTTCAATATTTAGATAAGAATGTACAAGCTTCTATATTAGTGTTACGTAGGGGAGATAAGGAAGTGCGTCGCGAGAATGACCAACACTTGTTATTTCGAAGACCTTTATTCAAGTTACCGTAATCATATAGGCAAAGTATCGCGTGTGTTTCCCTCGAAGGCTCATCGTGTACTCCCCCGATAGACTCCCTCCTTGCTCGCGCTTTCCTTCCCTTGGCCCTAGGGCCCCTCGTTACGAGATTTGAGGAGAGGGATCGTCAAGTCTCACCTAGAGGCGTTTCATCTCAACTCACACACCCAGCCGCGCAAGCTAAAAAATACCTACTTTTCAGTCAATGATTACAACCACGTAAAGTACTAAATAAAATTATTAAAAATACAGGATCAATGTATTTTTTCCTTAGCTTTCTTATGCAATTTTCGGAATCACAAAAAAAATAAAACATAACCTCGAAAAATGAAAAACAAAAAAAGAAAGCGTTGTATCTCGAAAAGTCCATTTTTTTTCTTTTTTTTGTATGGCTCCAATCGAAAGATCAGGTCTTTTTACGTCGGTATAGTAATTTTCAGGAAGGTGTTATTTTTTTTTTTTT